ATCCTTTTGGGTTGTCTTCACCATAACAACTAGGTATGATGAGTTTTGGAGAAAAAGGTTAATTAACGGTTTATTAATATATTATAAAAATAATATATTAATTGAGAAATCATATTATTTAATTAGAATTAATCAGAAATTAATTTTAGGATCAAAGGAACTGATTAAAAGTAAGGGGATTGATTTTTCAAATCATTGATAGTTGCAAATGGGTTGTTGGATCACCTTGGAAGGGCTGGACGAAGGGGGCCTTCTGGAAGGTTTCCATGGAAGATTTCGTCCAAGGGGGCCTTCTGGAAGATTTCATGGACTACTTAAGGCTTAAGCAATCAGATTAGGGTTTCCATCTAAAACCCTAGCAGCAACAAGTATATATAGACCCCTTAGCCTCTAGAAATCGGCCACTTGATTCCTAAGAGAAACCCTAGCCAATTTCTTACTCCTTCTACCTCATTCTTTGCTTGTGGTGTTTGTGACTCCATTAGAGCTGCAACGCTTGAGGCACTAGCCTTTCGAAGGTCAAGGAATTGAAGAAATGATTACTTATTACTACTAGCTAACAAGAAAGGTATTCTTCTAAACCCTAATATGTATAGATTTCGATTTTATATAGTAGATCTAGGGTTCTTGCTTTGGAAAATTTATTTGCATGTATAACTTGAGAAAAACCTAGATTCAAAGCAAATAGGGTTGCATGTGTACATAGGAATGTATATATGCTCAAAACCCATCAAATTCTTCATTATTCTTACAACTTTGGCCCAATTCAACTCCTCTAAGCCATCCAAAGCTAAAATGCTCACTTGATCGATCAATTTCACAATTTTTAATATCTTTTTTTCATCTTCTTTTAATATCAAGCCTATATTGATTGCCAATAAAAAATGTCTCATTAGCCCATATACTCTTTTGATCTTCTAGAGCCCAAATCATCACATATCTTTTTAGACCACAAGCACAATTGTGCCTGTCAAGTAATTCAGATATGCATTGCAAGCTCCCTATTTCAAGGCCCTGCACTATGGTCATGCTTCATGTTAAATATTTTTCGATAAATCATGCAATTAAGTTCAAAATAATAGAAAGCAGGAGTGAATCCTTTAAGGGGCCAGGGGAGGCCATGGCCCCCCTGATTTCTACTCCAGTAATACCTATTTATATATTGAATGATTTATAAGTTATTAAAAAGCACCATTGAAGAGACTAGAAATCAACAAAAAACACAGCAATAGAAAATTTAAACAGTATTTATGAAGATACCTAAAATTCCTAATTTGAAGGAAAACTGATACACCAAAATTTAAACTTTCAAACTTCTAACTATTTAATGACAAAAAAATTAGAAAAATATATTAAAATGTCTCAAACATAAAAATGAAACCTTTAACCCTTAACAGTCATTCGTCATCACCTTTCTTCTTCGATTCACCATAAGTCTTGCTTACTTGTAAGCCCATATCATACTTATTCTTATCCCATACCATACTTGTTCTTATCCCTCTTGTTTTGTATCTTCTTCCTTCTTTAGTGTGTTTTACTGTTTCTTTTTTTGCCTTGATCTTTCATGATATAGACATGGTGTAATAAAGAAGGGTGTAGTAAACTGTGATCTCTTGTGGGTCTTTATTTCCTTTTCTATGAAGGACTTCTATCGCACACAATCTCAGGCTACAAGGACAAACTACACTATTAAGCTTAGATACTAGCTTTTGACTTTTTTCCTAGATGCCTATATTAACAAATAATGTTATATTTGTTATTAAATTGTTTATTCTATTTTGCCTAGACCATCTCTTTGTTCTACAGAAATGTTTTTTATTCTTTTTTAATTTGTGTAATTATACTTGTGTTATTGTTTAGTTGTCAAATGAGGGTTTAAAAAGACAAATAAATTTGTTGCTAAAACATATTTTGGAATACAAAAGCAATAAAAGTTTTTTCAACAAGTAAGCGTTCAAAACATAATTTGGATCAAACCTTCTTGTTAGTTATTAGTTAATTTAGAATGCATACACCTAGTTAAAAATTGTTAGAAAAACTTATTCATAAACAAAAAACTAACAGGTTTTTGATATATATGCACTAATTATCAACTAATGGATTTTCTTTATAATATACTTTGTTTTGAAGTTTTTGATTTCAGCCCCCCTAACGTTAGGGCTTGTGTTCCGCCCCTGATATAAAGTACCCGATAATGATGAAAAATAACTATATATATATATATATATATAATGATGATTAGCTAGATTATGAATGAAATATATTAAAATACATTTTGGAAAGAAATAAATATAATAAAACTATCATGAATTCTAGTCTTATACATTGTAGAAGAGTTGGAAGAAGAGAAAGAAGGGCCAGTAGGCGGTAGAAGCAACAGAGATGGTTCTAGAGGGCTAACGAGTAGTAGGGGTGAGATAGGAAAAAGTTCAAAAGGGCCGCAACTTAAATTTGAAACTAAACTTGAGTTTTACTTTGAGATTAAATATGAGTTTGAGAATAAAGCATAACATGATAACATGATGTTATAGATGAGGAATTGACATTGATATATCATATATGGATACAATTGTAAAATAAATTATAGATTTGAGGGCATCAATTACAATGATGCCAATCTAATGATTTGTCTTGGAATTAATGAATCTCAAGTGATGAAGTTTAGATTTACCTAGCCAATCCCAATGACAAGTGTTCACTTCTTTAGATGTTTAGGTTGGAGGGAGTGGTGCCACCGAAACCGCACTCCCTTCCTCGCCACGTAAGCATCATGTCACTTTTTACCACTTAAGTGTGGTTTCTTGCCACACCAAGGGTGTGGTGCCACAACTTTAGTTTTTTGTTTTTCCTTTTTTTTGTTTGTTTTTTTGTTAACTATTTTAATTTAATAAAACTTATTTTTTAATTAAAAAAACATATTTTTAAAAACATAATATTTCATTAATTAAAAATACAAATACCATACATTACTTAATTTAAAAAAAAAAAACCTAAAAATTTAGAAAAACAAAGTAGAAACAAAAAACAAACAACTTAAAAAAAACACACAAGAAACCATTAAAAACTTGAAAGAAAAAGTAGAAATTAGTCACGATTGATGTAACGGTTTTTCACTTCCTCCTTCATCGTCAAAACCACTTCAAGCTTGGCCCCGGTCATATTCGACGTGTCCATTGCTAGTATTCGCATGTCGCTCTCCATTTGTTTCCGAAGCTCTCTTTCAGAAGCAATTTTCAAAATCTTGTCCATTCTCTCTTTTATATCCTTCATGTTGGTTCCCATTTCTTTCAAATCATCTGAATCCGACGCTTTGCCTTTGTCTTTGCCTTTGCTTTTTGATTTGTCTCTTCCCAATGGTCGGGAAGGTGGTGAAACTGGAACAGATTCATCTTCGTTAAGATCAAATTGAACACGAGCATCTGATGTAGTGTGGTCGGACTCAGATGTTCTGCTGCGTTTTGACCCACTGTCGATATGTTGGTCAGATGTTTTGCTACTCAACCATTTCCTGTAATCTTTCAAAAAATTCCAAACTTCAAGAAACTTGAAAGCCTTCAGATTTTCTTTTTGATACACTTTCAACGCTTTCTTCAAAATGACTTCTTCGCTTTCTCCACTTTTCCATTAACGGTTCATGTTGTTCCACAAGTCATTAAACAACATGATTTCCTTGTTCATCTTCCCCCATGTGGAGTACACTTGATGTTTTGAACAGTATTCTCCACGGTTCATTCCTTTATGGAACCTGTGTAAAACGTGAATCCAAAAGCGGTCATGCTTTTGGTCTTTTCCAACCGTCGCAGCTTCTGAAATATCAATCCAAGATTGTACCAACACTAACACTTCTAGAGGTTCCCAACATCTAGCCTCCGCCTTCTCTTTTCTTTTAGTCACTGCTCGAGTGGGCTGAGTTTCTGTAACGAATTCCGGTTCAAAATCAGAAACAACCGTTTCTGGTTGTGTTTGTGTTTGTTGAACAAACTCGGGTTGGGACAAAAAATCAAATGGATTAAAATCCGGGCCGGGTTGTGGTAGTGGTGGTGTTTGTGGATGTGGTTGTCATGGTCGTTGTGGAAAAGAAGGAAAGATACCACCATAGTGGTAATACGGAGGTGAGAAAATCGGTTGATCAAATGAAGGTATTGATGTTTCTGACTGGTGTTTTTTCTTTGCTATGTCTTTTGGAAGAAAACATTTTTTCAAAGAAAATTGGATGAAATGATTGTGTTTATATGTGTTTAAAGATTGTGTAAATGTAAAAATGATAATATATATATATATATATATATATATATATATATATATATATAGTAAATGGTTTAAAAAAAAAAATTAAATTACACGAATCTTTGAACGGTCAAAAAGAGAAAGGGGAAGAGCCAATCAGCAAACGTGGTCTTCAATGGCCGCAGTGCGGTCTCGACCGTCCCAAACCGCACCCTGGGGGCGGTGTTCGTGTCCCACATGGCGTAACCGTGGTTCCAAACCGCATACCACACCGAGAAACCTTACAATTAAGTCATTTAGGAAACCAATTTACACAATCCGAGAAAAGACTCAACAGATACTAATCATTCAATTCAAGGTCATAGGGATTGTTCTTTTCTTCAAAATTTAACATTTATTTTGTAAGGTTTAGTTTATATATCCCTATCACCAAATTCATCTTGAGATTCATTGCTCATGTTTATGGGGAGGGGCGTAGCCATACTTAACTGAAAAATATCAAAGTTACTTATAATAAAGTAACTGTATTTTCAAACATATAAAAATAACACACTTTAATGATTTAACTTGTTTTTTTACTACACAACACCACGCATTATATGATTATAAAATTACTTTTTTCTTTCGTCATTTATTAAGGTCGGAAGAATTTAGACACAAACAACAAATGCTTATCAATTATCATACAGCAAAAAAAAGGAGTCTCACCAATTATACACACACAATCTAAAAAAAAATCACTTCAACAAATTAAATCAAACGTCTCCCTAAAATTACACACCATCAACACTTGCGTTCTTCAGATTCCCCCCCAGCAGCGACAGCAGTCCACCGCCGTGTACCCGGCCCTCCGGCACCGCCAACTCCGATCTCCTCCCACTTTCTCCACCTTGTCTTCCGTCTGAACTCAATTGAAACGATGATGAAAATGGGGATTTCATCGACGAAGGAACCAGTACCTGAGGCGGAATCAGGTGTTGTCGTTTGGCGGGATTTTCTAGGGAGTCGTTGGAGTCAGAGACGATACTAACGCCGGAGGAAGAATACGTGTTTTCAAAGCTGCTCACGACGGTTGACGCCGACGCCGGCGGCGCCGGAACTAGTCCATGGAAGAGCCCTGGTCCGATTCCGATTCCAAAGTTACTCTTCTTGTTTTCTCTTTCTTGAACCATACTCGTATGGGCGGCGCAAAGCCCGCTTTTCCCCCTCGCAAACTTCTCACACGTTCCTTCTCCGCCCCAGTTACACCGCTTTCCGCCGCCGTGTGCTTTACAGAAGTCGGTGCTTCCTTGTGCGCTTTTTGTACAGTTTTCAGATCGACACCGCTTCCCTCCTCCGTGCTTCACACAGCAATCAGTCCGGCCACGTGCGCTTTTCGTACATCCGGCGATTGAACACCTCTTGCCGCCACCGTGAGCGACACAAAAGTTCGTTCCTCCGTGAACGCTCTTAGGGCAAATCCCACCGCCGTCGTACAAACACCGCTTTCCGCCGCCGTGTGCTTTACAAAGTGGTGTACTGCCTTCCGCTCCTTTCGTACAACCGGCGAATACACAGCGTTTACCACCACCGTGAGCTTTACAATACATTGTGCTCCCTTGAGCTCCCTTGTTACAACCTTGGAACTGGCACCGCCGGCCGCCGCCGTGAGAGATGCACAAACCAACCTGTCCTTCAGCACTACGAGTACATCCGTCAACCTTACACCGCTTTCCTCCGCCGTGCTTAATACAAAGCCCTGATTTTCCCCTAGCGGCTTTACTACACCCCGATGGGTGGCCACACCGTCTCCCACCGCCGTGGGCAATGCAATACTCCGTCCTACCTTCTGCACTTTTTGTACAGCCTAAATGCTGACACCGCCTTCCGCCGCCGTGAGCTTTACAGTACGCGGTTCTGCTCTCAGCTCCTTTGCTACACCCCGGTTTCTGACATCTCTGACCTCCGCCATGGCCGATACAGAGGCCGGTTGCGCCTCTTGCACCTTTTGTGCAACCTGAAAACTTACATTTTTTGGAGTTGCTGGTTTGGTGGTCGGAGATTGTTCCCATGGAGTAGTCGGAGATTGCAGAGGGTTCTGAGCTTACCTGAGGACCATGGAAAGAGTTTTCTCCCGCCTCAAAAACGTTGGTTTTCATTCTCGGAGCTAGAAGAAGCGACGGCATATAGCCGCCGGATTTTTTTGCCGATGTAGAGCCCTCATCGTCAAAACAAGTTTTATGAGAATAAAAAGATGGATTCAGATCAGTTACAGTATGATCGGAAAACCCTAATTTGAGAACGGAATCGCCTTCGCATTCCATTCCCCTGTTCGATTTCGATCCATTTGTTGGTTTTTTGGTTATGGTTCCGGTGGAGAAATAATCATTAGAATATATACTAGGTGTGGGCCCTAATCCGAGAACTAATCTGCAGCCATCGTCCGCCGGCGGCGGACTGGTTTGTTTTTCACGGCTGATTTCATATCCAGACGCCGTGTTTGTGTTTCCGCCATAACCAAAGCAATCCAAGCTTAAAGTTGTGTCACCATTACAAGAAACAAGTGCGAGACTATTGTTGAGATCCATTTTAGGGTTACTGTATACCATCTTTGAAGAAAGAGTTTGTAGGAAACTAGGAGAGTATATCTAGAATGATCTGTATATCAAGATGAAGAGAAATAGAAAAGTTTCCAATAGGCTAGCTCCACCACTCACAAATCCAGATGTGTCTGATCTATCCATTACCTTTTCCACTTATGGAAACGTTTCAATTGGGAGGTGTATCTGATGACATTTCTTGGATAAAATCCGATTACGTAGTCAACGAAGATTGGGATGTTTAGATCAGCGAACTCTCTGTTCCTCCTAATGGATAAGTCTTTGAGCTTCATTCACCTGCAATTCAAGGAACAGAGACACTTAAATACCAAATTTGAAGAAAGTAGTTCAATGAATCTCAAAATCTAAAGCTTCTAAAACATCAATCGGTTGAATTCTGATAGACATCATTGTTTTCGAATTTGAATGTTCAAAATTCATCAATTTGTTTTGAATCGCGTAGAATTTAATATCGTATATCAGTAAAATCAAAGTAAAAATGAACAGCACTTGAAGCATAGAACACAAGCGAGCATGATGTTTATGTTGTAGACGACGACAAAAAATTAGGGTATAAGATGAACTGATTCGATTTAGCAAGCAACTACAAAATTAGAAAAGGTAAACAACAGTAAAGCGAAATTCAGTAAGCTCATCATCTAATTCTAGCTAGCTTATTATGAGCAATTAACGAACTGTTAACCGATATAAGGATCTCAAATTCTCAATCAGACAAACACAGTGAAACGAATGATAAGAAAAGAAACAACTTAAAGAAAAATCATAAAATTCCTCAATATGTAAACCATAGCAGAATCAGAAGTCGAATTGTAGAAGAAAAAAACAACGATTATCATATACAGTAATGAAAAACTAAATAAACGTATGAAATTAGAAAGATGAACAGAAGCATACCTCAAGAAGCAAAATCAGGCGGAGTTAGCAGATCTAAGAAGACATTTAAAGCATCAGAATCCAGCCAAGAACAACAGTTGACAGGTATAGAAAATTGATTGGAATGAGTTTGCGAGAGAGAAAGAGAAAGAGAGAAAGAAGGGGAAAGATGATGTTTGAACAAGTGGAGTAATAATTTGGTAATGAAGTGAAAATTGAAAAGCCCAAGAATATTTATTGGGAAACTATCAATTTAGCCCTTTATCTTGAGTCAAATTATATATTTGGTCCCTAATATATATTTACTTAAAATATAAAAGAAAAAAAGTTGTTGGTTACAGTATGAAAGAAGTGGTTGATTAAAGTTTGATATTAATAATCAAAAAGTCAAAACAAACATCAACACCTACAGTACCTATTATCCTCTATAATGGTATAATCAAACACGAATTATATATCAAACTAAATAAAAATTAATTTGAGAAAAATAAATTACGAAGAAACTCGGTCCCTATTATTAACATCAATATTCTCCAAATGGTTTGTATTATTTTTGACAAAGAAAAAGAGTCTCTAAGAGTTTGAGTAACAAGTCCAATAATTACAATATATTTTTTATGTATGGAGTTGCAATAAAGTTTTTAAACTGTTAATGTTAACATTAACATAAATTTATAAAGGTAGTTAAATTGTAGTTATTAGTCGTTAGAGTTAGTTAATTTAGTTTAACAAGTTTCACATTAGGATTATTAGCAAGATAGGTGTAGCTTTGTTAAAGTAACATTTGTGTAGTTTTAATTTTCATTCATTTGCTTAATGAGAAATATTTATTTTTATCTTTTCTAGTTTCATTTTTTTCAAACATGATATAAATCATTCAAAAAAGAAAATTTATAACAAAAATAACTGAAATTATGTTGGAAAAGCAAAAGTAAAAGAATCTTATGATAAAGACATTTAAGTTATGAAATATTCTATTTGGTTGATGAAATTTATAATGTTGACATTATTTTTTGTACAATTGTTGAAATTCATGACACGTAAAGGACTAAAAACATCACATTTGTACTTGTAAGGGCAAACATACCTTTTGCATATAGTAGAAGGACCACAAGAATTAAATATTCTTCCTCAAATATTAATTGAATACTGAATTATTTTGGAGTGTGCAACACATTGCACATTCTACTTCTATTATTGGACAAATTACCGAAAATACCCCTCAACGTACAACTGTCTTTTGGACCGCTTGGAGGGTAGACGACGACGGAACGTTTGATTACTTTTTAGCGAAAGCGACGTTGTTCCCACAAATGACCATTTCGCCCCTGTTTTGTAATAATGTGGCGGGGGTAAATTCGTCATTTGAGAAGTAATGGTGATGTAAGATGGGGTATTATAAATTAGTGGTGGAGGTGGAGCGATGACGTGGCAAGCTCGTGCCAACAACCAATAAAAAGTGCATCCGTCCAATGTCATTTGTCTGTACTTCGACTTTCCAGCCGCCACTTTTTTGTAGCCGCTTATGGTTTTTATGCGGCTAACCGGCTTTGGTATAAACTAGTACAGCAAATGTGTTTTTGATTTTCTTTTTTGTTTTAAAAAAATATTCCAGATTGATTTTTTGGTTTTAAGATATTTAAATATCGAGGTTAGAAATATATCATAGCGTATGAAAAAGAAAATGATATGATAAAAGTCAACTATTTCATCTTAGAAAAAAATTAAATGAATGCTTCCTATCGTTTAGGATAATTTGTACGTTTAGTCCCTAACTTATTTATTTATTTTTTTTAATTTGAAATATCTTTACTGTTTGTTTTTGTTATGCGTTTGGTCACTGTCTTATTTAAAAAGACTATTTTACTCTTGATTTTTTAAATTAATTTAAATAAATAAACTCTTAACTCCACTCCTCACCTTATTAGACATACCTTATTATTTTTCTCTATTTAAATAATACTATTTTTAGACAAGACAGAGATCAAGCGCGTAATAAGAACAAATAATATGGACCTTCCGAGTTAAAAAAAACAAGTTAGGGATCATTCGTGTAATTTACTCTAGAAAAAACTTGTTCAATTCTGAAAGTTTTTATATTATTTAACATGATTAAAATTTTAATATCTATCATAATTTAAAGTATTTATGTTTTTTTAAACATTAGCATCATAAAAATCAATAGGTGGAATTTGTACGGTATCAATTCGTTTTTCCTTAAACTGTGTATCGTACCAATTATAATTGGTATAAAAAATTTGATACATTTACCGTACCAAGTATACTTGGTACTAATATATTTGACTACCAACAAATTTAGTTGGTACAAATTGGTAATGATATATACCAATTTCTTTTAACAATCCATTTTAAGATTTTTAAAAAAAGTAAATACATCGGGTAATTTAGACGTTTATAAGAAAATAGTTACGTAATTCTTTTAATTTACGGAAGAATTCTATTGAAAGTAACGTTAAAGTAATGTTTTAATTTTGTGCTTTAATATGGTACTAACTATTGACTAATGTGACCAAATAACTACCCCTATGGTCTTTATCTAGAATGTCATGAACTCCCCCTATGGTCTAATATCCAAGTGTCATGGGATACCCCAATGGTCTTTACCTAGAATGTCATGGGTTCCCCCCATGGTCTGATATCCAAGTGTCATGATCTACCCCAAGGTCTTTACCAGGAATGTCATGGGCTCCCCAATGGTCTGATATCCAAGTGTCATGGGCTACATCTATGGTCTTTCATGCAAGTATCAGAGAGACAAATAACATTCCACATAACAAGTAATGGGTTGGCCTTGGTGCCTTCGACCTATGGATATAGTGAGAAGACTCACCTCGCACTGTTGAATCATACAGACAAACCCTGTCTGCTGGCTGACAGATCCCCGCACTATCAATATTAAATCAACACCTGATAAACATTTGAGCTCCAATCCATAACCATAAATCCATACTCGGGGTAAAAAGATCATTTTACCCCTAACCTAGCTTGGTACAAGACTAAGGCCCAAACTCACCATCTGAAAGGCCTAAGCTAAAATAATCAACCAAAGCCCAATTATGCCCCAATTTCCCAAATTGGGCCCAAACCCTTTACATGGGCCTTACACTAAACCCCAACCATTTTTCCTAGTCCAAAACATTTGCACTCAGATGGCCCGTTAAGAACCCAAACATCCAAGCCCAATAAACAAAACCAACCTGACTGAGTAAATGGGGCATACTCAGATGTACGCTAAGCATACATGCTATTTGGCTTGTACGTTGCACATGTAGACTTATATGCCCAACGTACTCATCCATTAAGCCAAAAACTCCATTAAGCTCTTAATGCTTAAGTCCAGAAGTCCCAACCACATATCTGAGTCCAAACAAGTATCTAGAACCATAAAGTCATTGTCTTGGTGACTTTTCATGCCCTAAAAGAACCCAACTCCAAAATATAGCATTATACTTTCACCAAATGGACACAATCTTATACATGGGGGATTCTAAATCCTAAAGGAGATAAGTTTATGAATCTAGAACCTCAGAAACACCAAGAGTAGCAACTCATAGCTCCTGGAGTGGTACCAAACCACTACATATCATAACAATTATTATTGCAGAACACCAATTATTATTGCAGAACACTTATACTTGAGGTTCCCACTAGAAAACAAAATCACATACCAATTATTATCGCAGAACACTTATACTTGACAGACGACTCAGATAATCCTTCGAGTAGAAGACTTATCCCTGCAACGGTTAGACTCAGATGAGAGTTACACAACAAGGTTAAATCTTTTACTCTGAGATTATTTAACCCAACAAGTGAGCTAACATATTCTCTGAATGTGCGACTCCACACACGAATTCCAAATCAGTAATACCCCTGGCTTATCTTGATGCCCTTCACAAATGGAACCAATCAAAGACACAATCGCACAGGCTTGATATATCATCAAAACTGAATCCATTCCTTACCTTTGAAACCTTTGATTTATTCCCCCGGTATATAGATACCCCAATTCTTATCCCACTGAGAAGAAAATCCTGCACATAAACACTCGCGATTCCCAATTCGATATCTCACCCAAAAACCAACCTGGTACT